GAGGTCAGGGCCCTCATGATCCAATCTCTTCTCCAAAACCCCACCTCTGAACCTTCCTGCACCGGGGACCAAGCCTTCAACACACTAAAGCATTGGAGGATATTCCTGATCTAAACTATAACAACCTTTCTCTTTCTAACAAATAAATGACCTAGTCTGTGGCACTGTGTTATTAGCAACAAAAACAAAAAAAAATGGGTGTCACCTTCCCCCTGCACACCCTTCCTCTTCTTCTTTGTCCCTCAGATTTCAGAAACTTTAACCTGTCATGATGGCACATGCCTGCCGTCCCAGCAACTCAGGAGGCTGAGGCAGGAGGATTAAAAGTTCGAGGTAACCATAGCAACTTAACAACACCTGGTCTCAAAATTAAAAAATAAAAAAATACAAAGACCTGGGGAGAGGCTGGGGTCGTGGCTCAGAAGTCTAGTGAGGTATAGCCTAGCATGCGTGAGGCATTGAGTTTGATCCTCAGCACCACATAAAAATACAATAAAGGTATTGTGTCTACCTGCAATTAAAAAATAAACCTTTTTTTTTTAAAAAAAGAAATGACTGAAGAGGTAGCTTAGCATAAAAGGAAAAAATACCACCACCACCAACAACAATAAATCTGGAATCTTTATAGAAAGGAATCAAGCCCAGATCTGTACTGTTTCAATGAGGGAAATCCTTCCAAATAGGGAGGGTGGTTTGTTCTCACTTGTTTGATGTTCTGCTTGTTTTCATATGTGACATACGATGTCTCCAGATTCCAAATCTACCCATCTGTCTGTCAGTAATTGCACATTCCTAGCACAGTGCTGGGGGCGTGACAAAGCTTTATTCGGTTTCATTCTTACAACAGTTTTGCTCAATATGAAACAGTGTCCACATTCCCATTCTAGAGGAGAAGGAACCAAGATTTTCAAAAGGTATGAAGGTGTCCCACAATCAACCTCTGTCTCCGGGGTCTGTGTTCTGACAGTAAGATGATCTTTTGCAATAAAACGATGGGAAAAGATGGGGGATGGGAGTGAAGAAGGAATGGAGAGGAAGGAGTTAGAAAAAGAGGTTTCTATTCAAAGTGTGTACCAACGTCATCCCCCAGGGCACAAAGTGGTAGCAATAGTATCCAACCTCTCTCTACCTGCTGTGTTAGCTCATTTGGGGCCAATGAAGGGAAAACTTTCCTAGCCATATTTCTAAGTGGCAACAGGAAAGGGGCAAATTGGCTGCTTCATTAATAAACTGGATGGGGGGTGGGCATCAGTACCCGGCCAGCCAGTCTGCTGTCACATAGAGAATTTGCCTGCTACATCTCTTCTAGCTCCTCTCTGCATAAAACCCAAGGGCGGATCTTGGGGGGAGAGGAAGGAAGGAAGGAAGTTGGCTGGTTGGTCCTAAGGAACTTGATATGATGGCTTCCGGTTTCCAGGCTCCAGTTTGGGGAAAAAACCAGGGCAAAGTAGACACGAGGATCCATTAACACCCTTCCCTCCTGCATGCATTCCTTTCATAATATTTGGTAAGCTCTACCAGAAGGTGCCAGAAGTTTTTTTGGGGGTGGGGAAGAAGCAGCCACAAACAAGACCAACACCTTGCCCTCATAGAGCTTATATTCTAATGAGGGGACACAGACAGTGACCATATTAATAAATAAAATAATAGATGGACAGAAGTGCTTTGGACCAAAAGCGATAAGGAAGGGAGAATAGAATATGGTGTGTGTGTTTGTGTGTGTGTGTGTGTTTGTGTGTGTGTGTGTGTCGGGGTGGGGTTGATTTTTAACAGGAATCAGGTCTCATGAAGTGCCATTTTAAAAAGATTCCATGCCAGGTACTGTTCCAAGCACTTTACAATTATATCATGAATGCTCACAGCCACCCCAGGCTATGACTGATTATTCAGGTTTTACAAAGATAACCGAGGTTCGGAGAGACAGCAGCGATTCCCAGATACAACCCAACTAGCAAGCGGTGGAACCGGAATTTGGATGCACGCAGTTGAAACTGTGCACTTGAAAGTTGGTGCAGACAGCCTGCTAACCGGGAGTTGGGTAATCTGCGGGTGCAAATGGAGACTTTGTGGGTGCCAGCGAGGTGAATTGGGTGCACGTGGGGGCCGACCTGGTGGGCAGAGGAAGGGTTGGGTTGCTTGCAACTTTCACTGAGCAGAATCAGGTCCGTGGCGGGCAGTTCATGGGCCCTTCGGCGGGAGAGGTGGGCCGGTGGGGGAGGGAGCGCCACTGCAAGGGTTGTTCCGGGACAGTGCCGGTCCGAACCTTACCCCGCCGCCACCCGCGGGCCAGCTGCTCCAGTCAATAAGGCAAGAATCTCACAAGCCTAGTTGCCCTCCTGGTGGGGTTCGCGCGGGAGTTTCTACGAGGCTGGAAGAGGGCTGACTCTTTAAGGGAGGACTGGAGGCACCAGCGGCAGAAGCGCTCACAGCCCAGGAGCGCCCTGCGTGGAGTCCCGGGTGCTTCTCTCACAGCGCCCCCGGCGCAGGACAGAGCATGGAATGGCATCTGGAAATAGGTTGTGCGGAGTCGGAGTGCAGCAAATGGGAGAGGAACTACAACATGCTGGGGTATATATAGTAAAAGAGCAGCATGCGTTTGGCGCGGGGGCTTCCAAGACAGACCTGGGGAGGTAGCAGGTGCGAGTCAGTCTAGGGAGCAGTGGAAAGCCGGTGCCGGAGAGGAGCAAAGAAAGGGTGCTGGACAGAAGAAGAAGCGAAGCGAAAATAAACTGTGGCCCAGGGGACAGCGGGCTGTGCCAAAGCCCTGCACCAGAGCCAAGGAGGGGATCGCCTCCAGACCCTCTAAGAGGGGTGGAGGTGGTGCGCTGCTCATAGCGGAGACGGAAAGGAGTAAATGCAAGTCAGAGACCGTCACAGGCACTGATTACGCCAGAGCCCTCGGTGGGGTGAGGAAAGGGACGTGGAGACTGCGCGCTCAGGGAACAGGCATACTGTTGCCTGCTAGGGTGGCGCGCTGTTGGGGCTGTAGAAAAGTACGGTGGGGAGGCCTGCGAGTGTCCAGGGATATCGGAGGAGGCTGGGAGAAGCTGCAAAGTTGAGGAACTTCCCCGGGTTGGAGAGAGCGCGCACACCGGGGCCGCTGGAAAGAAGCAGAAAGTTAGCCTAGGGGTGGGGAGCTTGGTCAGAGATTTGAGCACCACTAGGAGGTGCCAATGGTTGGGGGGACAGCCCAAGAG